AATCCAAAATTTTATTTAAATAATCATAAAAAAACTACAAAAATAACACTTCGAAATAGGTAACGGTCTGCAGTGGCCGCTATATAATTATTAATATTTGCGGACGTGAATACAGGAAAAATATAGTACTGCGCGTGAGATATTTATTAAAATGGTTTATTAGAAGCAAAAAAGAAATTAGAAAATACAATATATTTCGGATAAAATCTCGAGAACACATAAATACGGAAACAGGAGATGGGAAACCTATTCACACAATTTTGAACCACCCCTCCATCCCTCCTCCCATCCTGATATTGTTCGAAAAATGTACAATTATTATACGACCTGCACACGTAAGTCCATTACATCATATTATTATTATTACGTATAGGTAGTCGACTTATAACGCTCATATAATATGCAATAATATTATATATATATATAGGTATATTATAAAATATAATATTATGTAGAAGTATACAATAACGAACAATCGTAAGTTTAAAAAACAGTGAAAAACAAAAAGCACTCTGTAGGTATATGCATATTATTTTATACAAAACGGTTCGTCGGAATCTCGTCGGAAATGTGTTACGCGCGTTATTCGGTTCCATTAGTGTGGCGCACAATACATACTCGTCCCGGTGCGACGGCGACGACGAGTGTGCGCGCGAGTCGACTAAAAGTGTAGTTGACGATATTATTGTTATGATAAATCGAACAAGTGGAGTGTGCACGGGATTATAACAATAATGGAGGGCGGCGGCGGTTATAATTAAAATTAAACTCCTCCGGCCGTGCGTAATCGCAAACGCAGACACAGTGAAGCGGCAGCTTTTTCTCGTATAGTTAATAATAATAATATATTGGGTGGGCGGATTTCACTAGCGTACCGACGCCGCCGCTGACGGCTGTGGCTGCCAAACGCCCCAACAAGTGACCGTGAACAAGAGTGGCCGGTACTCGCACACACAACAGGCGGTGCGGCGTTTAACTCGAACCCGAAATCCATCCCGTGGGATTACGACGACGACGACGACTACGACGACGGCCATGTCCAACCGACCGTGTCGCCCTCGCCGCCGATCGTATTATTATTATATCGTTGTTATGATAATATGATATGTATACGCGAGCGCGGTATCTTATATGTTTCTGTATCGTATTTTATATACCGTGACAGCGGTGACTACCAGATTTTTTACACCGATTTAAAGACATCCGTACTTATCGATCAGATTTTGTAGCGACTTTCGCTCAAAATGGAATAAATAAACACGGTTTTGGACCATACCTATTCGTTTTTAGCCCATGCACACGCATTATATTTTAGTATTATTAAGTAAAACGCAGTGGCGTAGCCAGGATTTTTTTTGTGGGGGGAGGTTAAAATTGGTTTAACTGAGGTCTCCCATAAGTTTAGCATACAGGCATCATACAGCTGTTTTATTTTTGGTTGTGGTTTCTGTATGGCTGTACAAATTTGTATTTGTTGTAACTTTCGTAGACCATAATATAGAAATAATTTTTAATTTTCTTAACATTTCGGAGTGGGGCTACAGCTCCCTCCCCTAAGCCCCTTGGCTACGTCACTGATACAACGGTTAACCTATAACCTGCAGTCGTGCGTATAACTCTGTCTAAAACGGACCTGTGAAAAATGGGCGTGCAAAACTGATATAGTGATATTATAATATATGCAGCGTTTTACCTCGACGTGATAAGCAGCTTACGCCACTCGGAAAATTAATGAAAAAAAAATGTTTGGAAGGTATTCTCATTTCATCAAGAACGATAGTACCATAAGAATTTTCGATCGGATTCTGTTTCGAACTTACGCAGCTTATAAGTTATAACTTATATGAGTCTTGCGACCGGAGCCGGTATAGGTGTAGGGATCGACTGATCGTCATATTTAATTGGCAACTTGCAAGGTCTGCCCGTACCATGGTTAATGGTTATGATCTTATATCTCTACGTGAAAACGTTGTAACATTTTTTAGTAATGTAGGTACGTAAATAGTAGTTTATGGTATAAGCCGGGTTCACTTGCACGTGGTACCACGTTTTATTTACATCGTGTCGTATAAAAAGTTGAGCTTGTCCCTACTCTGGAAATTTCTTAGTAGATCGTCCATATGATTGCAATGACCAATGAGAATACGATAAAAGTCACACCACATAAAAGACGATGCAGCTGTGAACCTGGCTTCATACTATTCGGCTCAAGTCGGCGGAATACGTAAATTCCTAAATTTTTTTTTTAATTTTCCAAAGCTAGTGGTAAAGTACATTTGTTCCTCTCGAGAACGCGAGTCTGGGAAGTTACTGCAAAAACCGGTATCATGATTTATTAGAAATCAGTTCTGCCTTGTTCCAGAACCACATTTTCCGTGGTTTTGATAATCTTTACAGTGGCCATAGGTTATCGCGGGCATTCGTTACTTACAACTAAGTGTTGTACCTATACTTATCATTGATCCGAACGAAAACCTCTGATCATATCATTAGGACATTATATATATATGAATATAATCTTATTGTGTCTACCTATTATATATTTGATATTGGTCACGGTTGTGCCGGGGCATTGATAAAAACGATGTAAACACACGTCGCCGTCTGTCGAGTTCAAATATTTAAGCTTAACAGCATGTTCTTGATTAAAAAATGAATCGACCAATCAAGAAGTATCGTTTCATAATTATAATAATTATATGGGTAAATCTAAATCCACTTTAAGGTAGTGACTAGGTAATTACTTCTGATGTTCTCTGATATAGGTATACGCTTAAAGCATAAAATAGGTAAATTCATTTTATAGTCATAACTGACTTAAATACTTGTATATTGGAATTTTATAGTTTTCAATTCATGTATGTTATATTAATATAAGAGGGTAAAAAAGGTAACTGAGTTAACTCATTCATAAAATATTATGTTATTACTTATTTACAATATTTTATTCTCTGATGATTATTGGTAATACTGCTTATTTGTTTTTTCACGTTTTAAAAATATATGGTTTTAATGGGTTAAATTATGTGTTACGGGGGTTTTTCATTAGAAAATTTAATTTAAAATAAGTTTAATGTTCCTATAGACACCAAAGTCTTAATTTTGGCCAAAGTTCGAGTTACCACTTATAAGGACTTAGCACGGTTTAACTATAAATTCCACTAAATTATTTTTAATGAATAAGGGCGGTATGGTTTTTTTTTTGTCCCGTATTAGAAAATGATAATGTGTACTATTATCATATTATATGATTATAGAAGAGAGACTCCACTAAAACTAGAATTAGTGAGTGTCGGATATTTTTATAAAAATCTTTGTTAACGGTTAGAGGGAAAAAATGTGTTGAAAAGGGTTGGGCAGAATAATGAACTTTGGCTGCGGTTATAGAGAGGTGGTACTTGACATACAAGTTATGGACCGAAAAAGAAGAACGATCGCCCTTTTTCCCCTATGCTATATGTACCTTATCCCCCGCGATCCCTTTAAGCTGTCAATCAGTTCAGACGGCCGTACACGAGTCCACGTGCCGATAATGGAACTGCTAAAGCGTTTTTGTAAGCACTCAGATGTCAGACCCCGCCGAAAAGTATCACGTTTAAAATTCAACCTAAACGTCGCTTATCAAGTCAACCTGAAAGAATAACAAGTCACAGTTATTTACTCACTGACCCTTTTTTTTACACTTCCCTCCGTGACAAAGTTATTAGACGACCCCGGGGAAAAAAACACGATTCCGGCCACTACGTCAACATTTTACAGAAGCAGCAGTTTATAATTAACCCAGCGAAGTGAGAGCCAAAATAAATGTTATAAAGTAATATAACTTTTACAAAGTTAATAATTCACAAAGAATCGCATGATTAAAGACAGAATTAAATTTTTTTTCTTACTTAATAGGAAAAAGTTTAATTAATTTTCGAAATTATTTATCTCTTATAACTTATATAATCATTTTCGTATTTAAACAGCGTAGTACTATGGGTGAATTATTTAATTAAAATAATACAGCTTATTAAATTTAACCTTTATTAACAAATTATTAACTAAAACGATTTATCTATTTATTAAATAAAATAAAAAAGTATCACTTCTTCTAAATAATATTTATGATAAAATCCCAAACTATAAAGAAGTGTAATGGTAAATATTAATAATAGTAATATTATAATATGCCGTTCGATTTTGGCAAAAAATATTTCCACATACTGTACTACCCTTCAACAGTAGTATTAAACAATTATAATATTATTCATAAATAGAGACTGGTACACTGTTTCCTTTCAGAATCGTGTTTCCTATGCAATGTTTAATTATTGAATTCAAATTTAACAAATCCATTACAGTGTCAACCCAATGATGACTGATGATAGGTACACCCAAAATCTAATACAACAGAGCGATTTCCCCAATCTTTATTTTATTGATGGGTACACTTAATACTTATGTACTAATATTTCAATTCCAACAAACATATTATATAATATATTAATATATATAAAGATTAAGTTAAGTTGCTATGTGGTATCGATTTTTAATGGTCTTAAATCTTAATATACATTTGTAATTTAAAGTATTACGATTTACGATTCAGGTATTTGAACTGGTGTGACCATATTATATCATATATGAATATAGTGTACAATGTACATCCCATGTCCATTACTTACGAAAAATCATTAAATAGCTTGTCTCCCATTATAGGCCCTAGGGTGATATTTTGGTAGTGGTTTTGTTTGCGCTGCCTGTACGCAAACAATTCGACATACTCCCTATTTTATTGTTCCCTCGGGATATTTTTTTAGCCCCTTTGTACAAATCAATTCACTGCAAATTATTATTTAAACTGAATTTAATAGAAAAATATAAGCTGTAACGTATAAATCAAGGAAACATCATCTATTATTATTAATATTATTTTTATATTTTTAATGAAAAATAAGTTTATAAATATAATACTCATCATTAATTTAGTCTATTTCATTTTGTGTCTTATCTTTCAGATCCATATCAAATGTTTGGAGCCACCAGCAGTCGATTAGCTAGCTCTGGTAAGTTGTAAACATATCATATGGTTTATAAGTCTTACAACTTGCATGCAAGAAGCGAAAACCATCCTCGTTGTTTATATAATATTTAAGTTCGCTTTAAGTGTGATTTCATTATTACTTATGTTTTTAATTTTTTATACATTTTAAATAAATTATTCAAATATATCATATATGTTAAGTAATTCAAAAATTATTGATATAAACAGTTTTAAAATGTTTAGAAAAAGTAATATTTTGTTCGGAGTATGTAAAAGATTTACTATTATATCACTTTCATGGTGGTAACAATATAAATTTGTTACTATTCTTTAATTAAAAATAATATATTATGTAATGTTATAAATATAACCAATGTTTGGGTACTATTTTAAAAATTTCAATATGTTAATGACTAACATGATTCATGTTTATTGTATTACTAAGGTTGTCTAATAGCGTAAAAAATATTCCCACGCAATACTTGACACTTTTCCGGCTTTGGTTTGAATTATGTTCGGCTCGCGTGTATTCAATCGACTTTCGCCACACTCTCGGCTATAACCCATTCGTCACGGTCTATGATGCCCCTTACTTAATATACTGTCTGACAACCAGATACACGTTTCATTTGCCCCTATATTTTATGTCATTGTATATCCATAATAATTAAGACAATGCATGTCTACTTAATTTTTATATTTTCAACTTAGCGTATTACACTAACACCAAATATAAAATGGTATCCCAAATAAAATGTCCAAGTTTAAACTTTCCCATCACCTATACATAATTATAGTTATTAAGGAATTAATTTATTTATTTATTAAGAGAGAAATTTAGTCTTACAGTACCTACGTCCTTACAACCTAAGTTTCTTATATCAGTTATCAGTTAAAATAAATTTAAAACAATTTAGAATTTAACTCTACATATTTTAAATAAAATGTACATAATCAAACACAAAACTGCGCATATTGCAAACCTTTGAACAGTTTATGTTTTTATGTATTTAAATAGGTTCTGGTCAAATTCAACTGTGGCAATTTCTGTTGGAATTGTTGTCTGATAGCAGTAATGCAGCATGTATCACATGGGAAGGTACGAACGGTGAATTTAAGTTAACCGACCCTGACGAAGTAGCACGTAGATGGGGTGAAAGGAAATCCAAGCCAAACATGAACTACGACAAATTAAGCAGAGCATTAAGGTAAATTAATTTGTGTTTAATGCGTGGCACTATATATTCATTAAAATTAAAAAACTATTAATTCATTAAATCAAATAATTGGTAAACTGAACAGAATATTAATTACTTTTACCACTACCTGCAAGCATGGATACATATACATGTAATTTAGGAAATTGCTCTGCAGGGACTTGTATGCCAAAATATTGAGCGTATGGTGGAAGGAGAACTGAAGCAGCTATATTATAAATCCTCCAGCCACTATACTGTTTTATATCATTATTCTAAAAAAAATGTCGTATTAGAAAATCATATGAGCGTTAAAAAATAAGTTTAAAAATGAGGTTTGTCTATATATAGTATTACACTTTGGATGTAGTTGCAATGGTTATTTTAAAATGTTGATCTCTTTTGAACAAAATAACCATGAAGCCGCTTATTTAATCCGTATGCATATTGATTTTTGTTCTTTTCATAACATTTCACCTAGAACATACCTCGGGTAATTGGATTTATAGAATGCCCTGTGCTCCGGCAGACACGTATTCGCTCATCCACTGGGTACCAAAGGGCGAACGTGTAATATATCCTAATTACATGGTTAGGGCGGCATCAGTAGTATGGAAGCGAAGGGGTGTGAAACTGGCTTTGGGCGCTCTAATTGTAAGCGAGGGGTTGTTGGTCGGTGATTGCCACTGATTGTGCGTTAATCACCCACGCCCTTCTTCCACGGAGAAAACGCGATACAACAGAAAACGTTTATTAATTCTGTAAGCGCGCCGAAGCCTCTGAATTCTGACTTAATCCAGACATTTCGTTTTTTATTTCACCGTTTTAATATAATATTATGTGTTGAAAAAAATAGATACCATCAGGCGCGTTTCCGACGAATAGCCTATAAGAAAACAACATTTTTTTAGATTCTAACCAATAAATGTTTTTACCGTTTTTTATTGTACGACGAAAACTAAATGTTCAAATACCAAAGAATAATTTGCATTTATTTTTAATAATTGGATTTAGAATTTTTTTGCGTCAGTATATGCGGTCCAATAATGACGTAAAATAATTGTATATAGCGTGGTAGCAAAAGTCATTCGATGTTTTTGATTTAGAAATTAAATTAAGTCTACGGGATTCAAAAAGGGTCCGGATATAAATTGATAATCGTGGGTTTGGAAACCTTTTCACCGTCAACTACGTACTTATTACGGCTCGAATCATTCCCATTAGCCTAAGTCGTATCGAACCTTCATGTATACTTCAGCCTACACCTGATATTTAATCGACCTACATAGAACTTTCAAATAAAAATAATACAGAATTGAGTTTAAAATTAAATTATTATTTAAAAAAAAAATTGTGAACTACAACATTTAAACGTGCGCAAACACATACCTGCCTACAAATAAATGCAATTTAAATGTTTAATTACTTAGACTTGGATTTTCATTTTCCATTTTTTATTAATATACTAATAAATTAAAAATATTAAATATAAACATCGATTTAATTATTTATCATTATGTTCGTTGTTTGAACTAGAAAGTAAATTTTATTTTTGAATTAAATAGGTACCTATTTAATTTTTACCTCGCCATAAAAAGTATGTTTTAAATGTTTTTGTTGATTTTCAGGTATTATTACGACAAAAATATAATGACGAAAGTTCATGGAAAAAGGTATGCGTACAAGTTTGACTTTCAAGGGTTAGCAGCAGCTACTCAACCAGCTGCTGCAGATCCGTCTGCATACAAATATCAATCAGATTTGTTCATGACAACCTATCACCACCATCACCACCATTCTCCGAAATTAAACTTCATGTCACCTCATGCACCTGGAATAACATCTACAGCAGGTAAGCTTAATATTTTATTACAATATAATAATCAGAATAACAATTGTTATCATTATTTTCCCATACTATAAAAAACTTTTACGTGTCAGGAAGAAATATTATTGTATAATAATAATAGAGAACGAAAAGATATTAACCTAAATACAAAAAGTCATTAACTTTATTTTTTAAACTGCAATAAATAAAACTAAAAGGGATGTATGAAATTGTAATAATAATAACATCAACGGTTAAAAACAGATTAAGTTATTAAAATAAATTTAAACATAAATTGTTTTTATTTATTACTTGCTTAACGGTTATTTTATAATTATTTATTTCTATTTTGAATCTCACTATGCATTTAATGCAACATAATATAATAAATTAAGTAATGAAAATTTTCGTAACATTTTGACCCATATCGGAGTGATGATAAATTCATGTTTCAAAAATGGTGTAAGGAATGTGACACAACCTTAATTATATTTTGGATTATGATTTTAATGCAACCTTAACGTAACGTGACCTTAAAGTATTTCTAAGCAAACCGTTACGAAAATATTTTTTAGTTATATTATACATAACCAGAGTTGGTGTATTTTTTAATTTTTAAACTTTAAACTGTTTAAAACTCATTAAAACAATTTGTTTTGTTTAAAACATCGTTTTGAAGAAAAAAACAGTTAAAAACAAAAAATAAAGTTTTTTATGTTTTTTTCAAAAATGAAAAAATACACAAACTATGAAACAGAACACATTTGGAGTATTTATCCGAGTTGCGCCTCAAGACTAGGGATAATTACAGATAGTATATACTAGTTCGGTCAAAGATTATTTTTGGTAGGTAGGTACATAAAAAAACTGCCTCTCCATGACAATCTTATTTTAAGCAACAAAAATCCGAGACCCAACTGGTATAGGTATAACCCAAACAAATCCGGCACCCAACTATGTGTTAGCTGATAAGTGGGATACAACCCACGCATTGTACTTATATATAGTATGGTGTGTATATTATTTTACAAAACACCGTGACAACGATGAATGGTAAATATATCTGTTACCGTTATCTCATAAAACAAGACTAAAGAGATTATAAATTATAATATAATATTTTTGATAAGGAACGACTACAAGACATTTACAATATAATACTATATACCCCTCTTTCGAGATGTACACGCAATACTATACTACTACCACTACTATTAATAATAAATAATAATAATACAGCCTGCAGTCCGGCGGCGTTGAAGGGGAACTATAATATAACGTCTTCGTCACGTCGTTCGTGCGTGCAAACAGTGTACGTGTTTCTGTGTGTGTTTGGTTGGGGGAAAATGGTAAACTATATATATATAGGCAAACAACCCGTGCGAAAATCATTCGTATGTAAACGAAGACGACGACGACGATTGTGCTTTTAAAGCGTGAAAGTCGCACGACCAGGGACCGGTGACACTATACGAGTACACAATAATATTATATATACACCACGAGCGTAAAAAGCAAACAAAACTTGTCAACCGCACGCCTTTTACCGGCGGCAGTGGAAATTTACATCGAGCTCGGAGGTGGCAGTGGCGTTGTAGGTATATAGGGTGCGCGTGTACACAATACACACACACACACACACACACACACATATATACATAAATCCTACTGCAGCCGGGTGTATATTGACCCATTTGTGTGTGTGTGTTTGTACACCTACTTATACGATGGAGGGAAAAAACTCAGAGAAAAATGAATAAAACGACGAGTTTGCATACAATAACGTTTACACCTTCATCACCTCTATTATATATATATATATTTTGGGTGTGTGTGATTTCTGTTAAAAGCGCAGTCGTATGTGTGCTTTGAACTCGACGTGATTCTCGAAACGATCCGTTGGGATAGGTTAAACTATCGAAAAAATACGACAGATGATAACAACAACACAACAATAATAATAGAGGTTATGCAAAACCTATACTTTACAATGTTTTCTTAGCCGTGGAAAACGGGAGTGTATATTATAATATGACTATAATAATATATTATATAAATTATTTTTCTGGTATATTTATCGTGTAGGTACCTACCTATTTACAGACTATTTTTACAACACAATATTGCATATCTGATATCTCTGAACTCACGTAAATTTAAATCAAAAAATCGTAATCACTGGTAATCGTTAGGGTGGTAAAAAAAATAAACATAAAGTTTCGACCCCTGCTTTGGTTTCTATATATATATATTATAATACACTATTCGCCCCTTTCAAAATTAATTTCCACTATTGTCGGAGAAAACGTTAGCTGGGAGACCTTTAATTTAACGATATGCAAATGAGGAAAACTTTGGTTTTATATTCAAACGAACAAAATATATTGGTTTACATGTCCCGACTGCCGATTCTGAGGATTAACTTAATCGAATCGCGTAAATTATTCTTATTTCAGCCTAATTTACATATTATATAAGACTCACTGCTATATTTACTACTACTATATTCTAATATAGGTAGGTAGTAGGTACTTATACTGTTCAAAATACACGCCTGATGGGACGACCTATAGTTAAAACGTATTCGATTTTTCAATCCGTCAAACCATTTGACACGATCTGTTTTACTCGTTATTCATATATAACCTGCAGTGGCATAAATGGTTTATATTTTTGGTATTGCAATTTTTTTTTGTTATACATTTATAATATACATTTTCAATCCCTCTTTTCTGTCTCAATAACCTCAATCCTCTGATACAAAAAAGGTCATTGTTAAAAAAAATGTATCGATGAAATATTTTTTAACTATAAAAACTATAAATCTAGGTAGTTTTGAACTAGGTAACTATAAAATATTCTATTCAACAGGTGTAGCTATCGTATTACAAATAAATCAATTTATTATTAACGCAATACGATATATAGTAAAACACATACTTACTTTACAACATAATATACAATCTCGAGTAGATTTTTTGGTGTCTCAAAAGCCAAAACAACTGTTTTGCACCATCCGTGCATGCAACCGCATGTTAATTCGAATTATTCGACTTCGAGTTTTGATTTCCTCATTTCCAACGGTCCTTGCCAAGTGATCGAATTTCTCAAAGTTCGGGTGGTTCGATGGTTCGATAACCCGTCCCTATTTATACGGTATACCGTATACCTAGTACACAAAAACGTAGCCACCGATTTACCGCGCGCGTCATCACAGTAATATACGATGGTATAATATTATCGTCAACACTTGATTTATAAGAATGATGCGTACATATAGCCGACGCTGTCGTGGAGTTTTCATATTAGACCCTCCTCGGGAACACTGCTCGTAACACTGCTGTATTAATATATATAATGTGTACACTCTGCACACATATATATGTAGTAGTATATTATTATGGTATAATATTATATATATAATATTACGTAAAGTCGTCGTCGACGGCGGTCCCCACGCGCGTATATACTATACACATTAAGAGCCGGAGATTTAGTGCAAACCGGGCGACGATATTTATACACGCCGAAGCGAATCGTCTGTCTCATTAGCCGTCCACAATGGGCCCTTAATGACCCTGCCGCCACCGCCGTCGTTCGGTCCTTGCCGCGTTTAATGACTGCTCTGTGCAGCGCTGCGGCCCCTTCAGTGCGTGCAGTGTGCACGCTGTATATACGACGCGCAATATACTTTTACGCGTGCGACAGCCACCGACGACGCCCTCCGCTCCCGCCAGAAGACATTGTATCCAGTGATTTTTCGCTCCGTTGCGCACCGTTACTATATATACTACATATATATATTATATTATGATATATTATTATACTCGCGTAGTCACTGACGTCGTCGGCGTTAATCGTCCGGTAAACGTTACGTTGTGTCGTACAATATTACGGCGTTCGCAATAATACCAATATAATATTGAAATATTTTCCGTCGTCGCGCCAAGGATTATCGTTGTATCGTTGTATTGTGCAGTTTTATTAGGTGGTTCGAGCGCGCGGAATACGATGACGTCAGTCAAGCTGCAGCCATATATGCCACAGCAGACGAAACGTCTGCGATTCATTTTGAAAATATTTAAGAATATATAGGTACTCGAATTAATAGATATTTTGTTGCTTTCGGATGATAGATAAATAAATACTTATGTTTAGTATAAGACTAGCAAATACAAAAGTTTCAGAACTATATAGTCATGTAGATAATATTAATTATTATAATATGATTGGGAAATTTGTATTGATTTGTATTTTCAACGACTCGTGTACTACAGACCAGTGTACAGCGAATATTCGGCGTTTAGCACAGTTTCAATTCGTTATTTTCTCCTTCCTGAGAGTTGATCATTCAAGTACCTATAGTACTCTATACCTATAGCTATTCATGTATATGTTTATCAAATACCTACTCGAAACCGAACTTTTAAACCTATACAATAAAAGCAAAAGCAAAAAAAAAAAATGGAAAAATCTATAGATACAATATACACAAAAGTACCACTTCATGTAAAATTGGGGGTGGATGTCTTAATGATAGACTCGTTTATAATTTACAATTAATAATTCATGGACTTTTATTAATTGGATTTGGTGTTGGGGGATGGGATGACGGTATTATCCTTACACATTGACACTGTTTGTGGGTGTCCACTTATTTTCAATTTGTAGAAAAACAAAGTTCTCACTGCCACTGCAGCAGACAACACTATATTGTTATATAATATCGCATGAAGCGCGAACCGGTGACTGGCGGGCGGGAGAAAAAATATTAATCGTCGAATGCGAACAACACGGCAGTGCTTGCGGCAAAGCGTCTCGTATCGGCCACGCGTATATTGAACGTCGCTTGGTCGTGTGAAACGAGTGAAACGCGGTGAACGGTGAGTCATATATATATATGTGTGTGTATGTGTGTGTGAGAGTAGAGAGGAGGAGAGCGACAAAAGCGATCGCGGACGAGCTTTCGTCACTCCCGGAAATTGCTTGGCGCTGCCTAACCGATAGCGCGCACTCCGCCATCCGCCGCCGCCGATGAGGCTATATGCGCACGGGTTCCCCGGGAGCAAAGCGTTTATTAAACGCCCCGGCGGTTGCCGTGAGCAAACTCCTCAACGCCCGGACGACGAGCGCGGGTTACCCAAACAAAATAATATAGCGACCGTCGCTGTCGTCGTCTTTACGCGCGCCCGTTCTCTCACTCGTTCAGTGATGGGTCTCCGCCGCGGTGTACGCGACAGTTTCACCGGCACCCACCACCCACCTTCTCCGATACGCAATCTCTATACATCACCCGCAAAATAATGATGATCGACCCGAAGCGACACGCTCCCGATCGCGTGGCCGACGCGCTGAAAAGTATATAGGTCGTCTCGTCGTCACGCGGCTCTTGGAAACTTTCGGCCGCCCGACCAGTGGGTACGGCGTGGGTACATACTCATATTATCATAATATTGTATGAACGGTGCCGCCCAATCAAGTTTAGCGATTTGAACAAGTGGGGCTCGACGCATAAAAAACTTTCTAGTCGTCGCGCCTGCTCACGTATACCTGCAGACTGCACGTGCACCGGGCAGGCGTATTCGATTAGAGGAAAAACTCTTATTCACATGCGAACATTTTCCTCACGATATCGCTACTTATATATAAGTACACACACACACGCAGCATAAAGTACATACAACTTACAATGTACGTGTATTACGCATGTATAGCCTATATTTTAGATACCACCTCCTGTGCATTAAAAAAATTAACATCAAAGTATACCAAGTGCTGCAGTTGAAAAAAAGTCATGCAGGATGTCAATATGTTGATATAATCATAAAAATATGTACAACTCGTTTGGTTTTCCAATGACTATCCCATGTAATTATAATAGCATTAAAAATAACTAATATTAATACTATTAATTCAAGACTTCAAGACAATAAGTATATTTTGACTATTTCTGACGAAATAAATTGAAAGTGTTTATAGTGTATTAGTGTATGAGAGCTTTAATGCTATATAATATTCTTAGTTTAATAAAACCAAAATCCAAAGTATTTCCTACATAATATATGTGTTAAGAATTGAATAAAAAATATAAATATGTAATAATTCTAAAGGTTAGAGAATAAAATGTGAAACCTTATGCAGTTATACGGTTAAATATTTATCGATGTATGACGAATAACGTTCTGCATAAACAGTCGAATAAAAACTAAATAAATACATTGTATTTATAGAATTATGTTTGAACTAATTAAAGTATTCGTAATTCATTGTTCCTTTTTTAAAATTATTTTATTCTCTGACTGAGAATATTAATATATAGAAATACCATTTTTTTTAAAGTTTTCTCATCATGGTCAAAATTGTAAATGTTATTTATTATCAAGAATAGTATAATAATATGCACCTATAGGTACCTATATTATTTTTATTATTACAAAACTAAAATTTCAGTTTGTAGTGAAATCTCTAGTTTAACTGGTAGTTTGGCTGAAATATAATTATTAGGAAATGAGCAACAACAAAATCAATTTCAAGAAATCCATTAGTTTGTAATTTCATTTGTCAATATGTTCGTTTCGGTCGAACACCGAACAGGGGTTTTGTTCATTGCAATAACCCGTGAAATATTGGGAATGAAACCCCTCGGTTAAAACCGCTTGCCCGTCGGCAATGGGAAAAATACATTTTCTACAATAACGAAGTTTTCCCTTTTGGTTTATATGTTTTTCCGGTGCTTAATATTTTGCAACATTGATTCCCATTCTTTTTCTAGACAAATACAATTACGATAATAAAAAGGAAGCGATTCATTTAACGTATTTATTATTCGATAAATGTGTTTTTACTTTTTGCTAACGAAACCAGCTCAGAATTTATTTGAAATTACTCAATATAATATACTAAATACTAAATATCTACATACACAATACTAAATGTCTATAAAAGTAAAAACAAAACCAATTATAGAGTTTACATTATATTATATTGATTATGGAATTATAATAATTAAATAATGTTTTTAAATGGTGTGTATGATGTTTATTATAACTTTTAAACAGTTAAATTTAAGATGATTTTCAAAACATTTCCCATAAAAATTCAAAATTGTGTAACTACTAGATGTGGAGATAGTGAGATCTCAGCTATAGGTGATAGTATTGTTTTAAATATTAATTTTAAACTATTCTCTTAAATTTAGTGAGTAACACTTTGTACCTATACATCATATTTATATATGTAACGCCGCGCCGTGACGGCACATCAGAAAATTGGGTATTGTGGACAATGGGCAATTTAGTAGTCCAAGTGATAAAAAAAACACTTCACTAGCAGGAATAGTGTATAATAACCAAATGCGTGGAAGCTATATTAACATTAATATTAATTTATAAAATAAAATAAGAATTTTAATTAAAAATTGTTTTTTGTTATTATAATATTCTAAAGTACAAAGTTGGCCACTAGAATAGGGACAAAAATAGACGGGTTTTTCTCAACGTTGAATGTGAGTAGGAAGGTCTAGATAAGCTCATTCGATCCGTCAGATAATGCCGTTTCGTTCACCTTGTGTTTGCGTACGACGCATTTGTGAAAAACAATGAATCGGTAGTTAAGCCGTTAAGGTGCATTCAGACTGCAAGACTCCGTATTCTCGTGAGTTGTTACAGTACGTTTGGGACCATTTGTTTTTTTTTTATTAACTGTCTCCACCTCATAATTGTTTTCCCATTGAGAGCAGCACCGCGACGTCCGACGCTGAAATGAAGTCTGAATGCGCGCTGCACCTTAACTTCCGATTCATCGTTTTTCACAAACGCGAGTACGCAAATAACCTAGGTACATGGTGAACTACACTCCACTACTCCAAAGTGACAACGAAATGGCATTATCTGAAGGATCGAATGAGCTTAGATAGATAGATCGACCTTCCTACTCACATTCAACGTTGATAAAAACCTGTCTGTTTTTGTCCCTATATTCCCGTGGCCCATTCTGTATATTTTAAATTTATTTATTTATTTGAATTCGGCTTTCTATTGTGGCTTTTTGAGTTACTAGATAGTAAATAGTAAATACAGTCCGAACACTTACAATGACCGGATTTGATCTGCATTTAATATTTAAGTACAATTTCCGACTATCCCTCTTTGCCCGTAACATATGTGTATTTATATAGTAGGTATCTAATAATACATAAATCTTTACAAGACATGCTTTTAAACGGGCCTTCATTTAACTGAAAATTCATTTTTTTTTTTTTTGTAATAAATTGATATATTAAACTGTGTTGACCCATAAACAGACATAATATTATAACGTATTATGTATTCTCTAATTGTATTTTACATGCATGTATGTATATTGTATATCATTGGCGTATCAGAAGCTAGGTTATGGGACAAAGGTGAGATTAAAAATGTTACATTAATTTTGGTTTGGAGGGCTCACACCATTGGAGGAAATTGGTGGCTAAACTTTTTAATATTTTCCATTACGAAAATTGTACTTACATAGAAAAAAATATAATATACTTTATACATATTCCATATTATGAGCTGTTTGAACGGCAACTACTATACGAGTGCTCTATCTCAATGCCACACATTAATCAGCTTCTTGGATTTATTATTTTAACAGTATTGCAGTATAATATGAATTATTTTTTTAATACTTGCGAAAGAGAAGGTAATTTTTTCGGGCGAAAGGGGTCTCTTGACACTCAACGACCATGACCCTTTCTTTATGAGCGCCACTGACATGATACATATGCATAATAATATAATATCTACACACATCATATTAAAGTACCCTACCATTGTCTTAAGTTTTTTAACTCAAACGTGTCGCTCTGTTTGCTTGCATCTTCAGGTAGCATATTTCCATCGGCGTCGTCGTACTGGACCAACCCGGGTGCCAACCTCTACTCGAACATCGCCGCTGCTTCCGCGTCGCACTCGATGGGCCACCATCATCACCACCCTGGAGCAAGCACCGGCGTCAGCCACCACACGGGAGTTTCACCGCACCTGGCCAACTACTCGCATTACGCGTCACCATGACCGTCGGACGTGCACTGGGCCGCCAGGTCGCTGCCCAGCACCACCTCGGCCCGGCCGCCGCCACATCCGTACAAGCCCATCGAATGAACAACCCCTATAGTCACCATTTGCGTGCTTAATTTATCACAACGTTGTTTTTCATTCGTTATGATGAGCGCGGGGTGTAAAAGTAAATCCACTTTCGAACCGTTATGCTATATCGTATTACATGTAGGTATAACGATTATAATATAGTAATCATAATAATAATAATCATAATAATACGATATAATTATAAAACTGACACTCGGTTCGAATCTACCCGGGGTGGAGAAGAGGACCTACGAAAACGCATATTGATTTCATTGTACACAAACAGATTTTAAATGTAAAAATACCCTTCATCTGTGCAACCGATAAGTGTTGATTAGTTTTAGTGTACCTATTAAAAAATTTCTTAGAAAAAAAAAGCTGACGCAAACCACCGTCACACACACACACACAGGTTATGAGCTCGTGACAATCAACTCGTATCAACACTGTACACCGCACAAAAATATTAACTAAAAATTATCATGCTGAATATACCCATCACTGATCATTACCGTAACTATAATTTTTTTTTGTATGTAAAACAACGTACGCACCCATACATACACATGTAGACTACTGCTACTTTAAGTTTTATCGGTCACTTTTTGGGATTTTAAATACAATGAATTTATTTCATGTTGGTTCCGTGAACTCACTATTTTAATTTTTTTAAGAAAAAAGACCAAAAAGTCTTAACTGCTTACTATTTATTATCGTTGTAACTTTTAAAATGTTTAACCTTTTCTATTAGCAACTCATATTCGTAACTATATATTTGACTCTGCTGACCTAACCTAACCAAAAATTGACTGAGAAAATGAGTGTAGTGTATTAATAATTTTTTACTGTATGTGACGTGTTATACAACCCGTGATAATTCTATACAAGTACAAACTTATACATCCTTATTTCAACCTTGAGAAATATTAATTATAATATTATATACATAACTCTCCAATATAAGAAACCGACCACTAATAATGTACGAACTTTTATTGAAAAATAAAATATAAACACTATACTAAATTAATAATCATAAATTAAATATTTAAAGACGACTAGTACAAACAGAGTTTTAACAAAAATATTATTATTTTATTTTATAAAAAAAAAATTAATTTAAAATTTAAATGCTTGTAACTATAATAAACTGAACACTCAGGTATTATTTGATATCAAATATATCGATACCTATGTATAATAATATGTGTTAAAGGTATTAGGTATGTAATATGTACCGGATATCAATGAAAAACCAAAATTATTATTCCAATAGCATTTACAAGTACAAAATGTTAATATACTATTGTATACTTATGTTACTAATTGTTATTACCTATTTAACAAAACATTTTATTGGAATATCAATATTATTTGACAATTTATAACAATTATTCTAGTCATTTTGTGATTAAAACTGGCAATTCAGATCTCGTTTCTTCATAAACAAACCCCTAATTTTTATAATTTAAAATATTAACAACTATGTTTATTACTATTAAAAATAATATATATATAACTCATAATGATTGTACAAGTATAGTACAACATTTGTTTTGTTAGGTACTTATGTATGAGTTATGACAATCTATCATAGCTAGATTATTTATAAAATAAAGTTTTAAATTTCAATGTATTATAAAATAATTTATATTAAGGAACTAAAAATACTTAGCTTTGTGCTAAAGTAAAAGTAAAGTGCAATATACATTATTATACATTTTTGTTTATAGATTTAAGAATAATTATTTAGTTAGAAGTTTAATTTGTATGGATGTAATATTAATCTCTGTACAGGCCTAAAACTAATAGAAGGCATCAAAACTAGTCTTAACGCTATTACATTATACATAAGATCATTACATTAATTATAATAATAGTGTCATTAATAATACAATGATGACGTTACACATTGTAAATACAATTCCATATTGGAGAAGAAAATAAAACCATTATTATACTGTGTTTTTAATTTGTTATGTTAATTATTTCTAACTGTCCTGTTTACTAATTTCTTATTATTCTTCGCAAATAATTATTGTTGATGAAATAATATAAGGTTTGAATTTATCTGAGAATTTAAAATGTCGAATACCCAGAATAAGCACAATATTGTATTAATAAATGCATTTGGAAGAGCCCAGTCAGTCGGTATGAAGCGTGCTAAAATTGCACATAAATATATACATAATTTATGTATATTTGTGTAAGTGTAATATAATATATATATATATATGCATATAAAATACATATTATATATTATGTGTTATTGTATACAAACGTAAGAGGGTTGTTCTCAAGAATAATTTCAAACGCCACGTGGAACAATGACGGAAGAGGAAGGGGGCCGGAAACGAAGGAAAAACTGAAGACATGAGCCACCACCGCCCGACGTAGTATTATATAATACTATATATATTGTTCAGATTTTCTCCGTTTGTTGAGCATGAACATTAAAATGGGTAGTTTAGAACCGAGCAACAATGAATATGCATGAGCTCGACTACTTGATATTTTTACCCTCGGAAGCTATAAAAAAAAGTCCCACAAAACTTCGCATTGTATTAATCATAAGTGTGGCAGGATGAGGAGGAAGTAATTCACTCGTAATGTGCATTTCTTATCGACATTGATGGAATTATAATTTTACAATACTTATACGTACCTATATATGACCTATTCTCCTATACACTTTCTGTATAATATTCTGAGTGGTTAAAGTGAACATTGCATTGCAGAATTTTATATTTAATATTATAAAATCACTTTATAAGACCAATCAACAACCACCGATCACCGTTTACTCGTATGAATAATTTGTAATTTTATTGGAAATTAATACAATTCAAGTATATAATAATATTGTTCAGCATTTTGAAGAATTTTGATGACATAATATTACTCTTGCATTAAAAATGATAAATGATCACATATCATATATACTGTAATATCAAATATGTACATAAATACATAATATATTATTATTACTACCTACTTTAATACGAATAGGATATAGGTATACGTTAATTTCATAGTTGTTCGATATTGACCTGTAGTTAAGAGTACTAACATGATGTTATTAGAAAAATTAAATACAAATACAAAAAAAGTTTACAGGTACAGTATATAATTACTACATTATATTATATAAAACAAAATACAACGAATATCTGCAACACGTTACACATTTAGTTTGATAAAAAAACTTTCATTGTTTTGAATAAATTGAAATAAATTGTATAGATAGTATAAATTGAAACAATATATTTTATAAACCTGGAACGTATTATAAGTACGTCTATACTTTATTATTTTTTTTTTAATAATAATAATAATAATAATAATAATATAATAATAATCTTTATTGCAACAATAGATATAATATACAATATTTACAAAAATAAAAGTTAGATATTGCAGCACCCCTCTCTATAAGCGAAGCTGTTGCTGTGGCACGGTTCTTATTATTTAAAGTGAATACGTTATAAATGTTGAAAAATAATTAATTTAAAAACAAAACATACAAATTAAAAATAAGAGTTTAACATTTTAAACTTAAAAAGGTTAAATAAAAGACAGAATATTCTTTACGACAATCATCAATATTTATTTATAACTCAATAAGAAAATAAATAAAAATTTTTATGTTTTCGTATACATTTTTACCCCTTTCAGTTGACAAAACATATATTATAGGTATAGTCTCGTCGACAACATCATTGAAGTACAGGAAAATGAAGAATACAACGGTTGTACCTCTTTGTCGGGCCAGGTGAGGCGGGAATCGGCGTAGAATTCAAGCGTGTAAGATTAACAACAGCTACTGTTATAACCATCGCGTGTGTATAAATGCTTTATATACATATATATGCTGATATAAAGAGAGAGAGAGGGAGAGAGAGAGATAGTAATAGGGCGTGCAGTAGTGGAGCAAGAAGACGGTGGCAAAGCACGTGTGTGGCGTGGGCCTGGGAAGAGGTGGAGCGGGAAGCTTTTGTCATGGAAATGGTGGCAGGGCCAACCGGAAGTTGGTATCGACCACCTGCGCAACCAACCGACGTTTCCGGAACTTTCCTGGCACAAGATGGAGACAACGGTGGGACCACACCTACCCGTGCCAAAAGCATCACTACCCCGCCGCCGTCTGCAAGCTTTTTCTATCCTCCCTCCCACCGGCGGCGACCCGACCGTTGCGCTCTCCCTCACTCCTCAATTTATACTCACCGACCCACTAATCCACCCACCCGTACATCCATCCACTCACAACACACCGTGAAATAACTGCGTAGGTATCGATTATACATAATATAACGAGCACCGGCACCGTTTGTGGTGGATGCCGGAGACGGCTACTTGCCGACATCGGATTTCCTCGCCCATAGATATATTGTGTCAAGTGGTACCTGCTACTTTCTCCGCCAGCACAGCGGTACGAGCGGGCTCACCAGATTATTACGTTATTATTATTATTCATTATTTATATAAGAAATATTATAGTAAACATATTCAAAGTTCTACGGACCACGAATATTTTTTGAATAACAACAACATTTCACAAATCGTTCGAGGAGAAATCATTATTTTAGGTGTGAATTTTCAATATCGTCTGAATTTGACGAATTACAAAGACTTAAAGAAGTATATGGCTCTATAGTCTATCCTAAACATTTTTTAATACATAAAAAACTTATGAGGAATCGTATGTTAAATTTACAAACCTTATTTATTAAATTAAATATGTTATACATTTTTATCTACAAAATAATTTACAGATTTTCATGATTTCAATCAATTTCATTAAAATTAAAACTTTAAATAAGTGCCTATAAAAAAAGTTGTGACGATGTACCAACACACGATATATTTTTAATTTTGGTCTTATCACTTATGAGGAACCTTTTATTAAATTTAAGTTATTTTTCTCACAAGACCATGCGTAAATCAAAAATAATACTGAAAAACTAAATTTAAAATAACTATATGTAAATATTAAATAGCAAAAAAGGGGTACAAATATACAAAATTTTGAAAAATTGTATCAAGTCTAGTAAATGCTAGTAGGTATATTTTATGAAAGTTTAAAATCACTATAACGAAAAACAAAATCACTTTGCTCAGAATCTAATAGTTACTATTTGTAATTTTATAGATGAACTGAAAACTACCTATTAGGTCTGATATCGATTTATTATTTTTATTATTTTATTCACTAGATGAACTGTATAATGACTTGGTCGATATTCGTGATGATTTTCTTGAGCAGAATGAAATATTGAACAACCAAATGATGTATATGAATCACCGACTTCAACAAGATGAATAAACTATACCAATATAATATTTTAAGAAAAACTTATTTTATGAAACACATTAAGTTTACATTTTAAAACAATTTAAAACACTACGCATAAAAGAAATACCAATTTACCGTTGTTAAGTGACATTGTTTTATAATTAATTTATTATTGGTTGTGATAACTATTTTTAGATTACTGTGTTTTATCGATAGGCAACTTAACATAGTTTCAAGTGAATTGGGTACACAAATTACAATGATTTAATTTAAGAGTTGTGTTTCTCATATTATGATTGTATACTTGATTACAAGTTACAAGTTTACTACGTTATTGATTCAGTACCGGATCCAGGGGAGGGTAAAGGGGGAAATCCTTCCCCCCAATCGCTGTAGTTTTCCTTTGTTTTACACAGTGTTTAGCCAATTTTGGAACTTGTTGTACTTTTGTACTCAAAAACTAATAACCCTAGACAATTTACATTTTTACCAATTGTTTATATTAGCATTTTCCAAGTAACGTAACATTTTATAGCAATGATAAATTTTCAAATTTATAAGAAATATATAGAAACAAAATTGAAATAATATTGTTTAGGTTAATCGATTTGTTTTTTTTTTTCAGATTTCATAAGTCTATATTATAAATTATAATGTAAATATTACGTTCATAAAAGTTAAATAGGTACGAAAATATGTAGTAAATCTAGTACGTCACTAGGCATTACAGTCGCATACGTACATACCCGTACAACTTTGTGAACGGTGTCCCACCCTCCCCCTGCCAGTAGTGTCCAGTCCTATGTAGTAGTTAGTGGTTTAAGATAAGGGATATCTGTTATCTCGGACGACACAACTACCCCGATGCCCAATTGATGAGCATTTAAAAATGCTGATAATCATTATTTTATTTTCACTGATATTATTTTCTTGTCGGCACCACTGTAAAAAAAGTAATATTTTCTAAATTTTTAGTAGTTATAGGTGGTATAGCACAACTTGAGACGTCAAAATAGGCTTCTTCCCTCTATAAATCTAAGAAATATGATCGTCGTTCTAAAAACTGTTTTCATCCCTTTGACAGTTAAAACTAAGATATTTGAACATTTTTTTTTTTGCAAAATTGTTATTTGATGGTACCGTAAACTACCTAGCTTAGTTTTGAAGTTCGCTCGAAAATAATTACACCACACTTTACACCTACTCACTAAACGTACAATTTGTATTAAAAAGCCATCAACAGGTATGTCAACACGGCAACACCTATAAGTTCGAAAATAAAGTAACATTTTCCAAATTTTTTTTCTATCAACGTACAGATCGTCATTCTCAAACTATTTTCAAATTGTGTATATAATTTGATATTATATTATTGACTATTGTATTATTAATAACATTTAGAACATAAAATACGCGAAGTTGAGACTGTGGACTCCATAATTTGGTACGGTCCCGATTTTCCGATAGGACTATCCGCCCCTTGCTATAGCTAACTATATATATTATGAACTATTGAACTGTATATAATACATTCAATTATTCAAATACACTTTTGTTAAAGCAAAACTTATACGAAATGTCGGAAAAATTCATACAAGCTGATAATAGTACCCAGACACCAGGCAGGGGCCAGTTGGGGAACCCACTTGTTTTGCCCATAAGATTATACAAACGTACAGTATACTCTAGTGTACCTATTTGGGCATACTGGTAGAGGTAACTCGTAGGTATATTTGTAATAATTAATAAATAAATGAATGGCTATGAAAAATAAATAAATAGTCGATCTTTTTATCGCTACTGGTGGACAAAGCACTGAAATAAATGCAGTACAATTATGGCTCACTTTTCAACATTGAATGCCTATACACGTCTACACCCGTTTATCTACATTTGTGGTTAAAATTTATTAATGACACTAATAATTCAATATATAATAATTAATAATGAATTGAAATATTTAAATGCATGAATGGTAAAATAAATAGTATTAAAATTTAACTACTAAAATTTGCTATTTTAGGGTGGCAACAGGGTGTACTTTGGCACTATTATTTTTTCTGGATTTTATTGGCATGCCGCATAAAATAACCAAACTCGCCGGTGGCAAATATGTAAACAAAAAATGTTAAAATATATTAAAAAAACCACAATAAGTATAATATTATATTATATTTGGAGTTAATGTATAATTATTATTAGGTACCTAATGAATGTATAAAATCGATATGCATGGCAAAAGCTATTTCCATCTACCAGCACTTTCCAATTTTTTAATTCATTAAAATATTAAATAATATACAACCCTCCAACGGCTCCAACACCATGCACGTTATGCAATACATACATGTATATTTTGTAACTTATGCAGAAAAAAAGCGGCCTGAATATGACAAGAATTGGACCGCTTAAATGTTGGTACCTCCAATAAAAAATTCGATTGGCGCCAGTCTCTTAAATCAATATCCTTAACTCTGATTACAATATTATTACATCTCGAATTATCTACTACGTCCGTACGTCCCAGTCCTCTTTAATCATGTCGGACGCTTTTTCCGCGATCATGATCGTCGGGGCGTTGGTGTGAGCCGCCGGCACTTCCGGCATGATCGACGCGTCCACCACTCTCAGGCCGCTGACGCCGTGCACGCGCAACCTCGGGTCCACGACGGCCGTCGGATCTGTGACCGGTCCCATCTTGCACGTGCCGGACAGGTGATAGATCGTGAACGATATCTGTCTGCTGGCACACTTCCAGTACGCGTCCGTGTCGAACACGTGTTGCGCGCAACCCGGAAGCGGCGTTTCCAGGATCGTGGCGTTGAGTGACCTCATCGGGCCCGTGCGCAGCATCTGCTGGACGAGCCGGACTCCGGCCACGATCACGTCCAGGTCGGCCTCGTCTGCAAAATAGTTGGGGTCGATCAGCGGGTGATGGAACGGGTTGTCGTCCCTCAGCCACACGCGGCCGCGGCTCTTGGGACGCATCACCATCGGGAACACCGTGAACCCGTCCATACCCTCAGTGGGCCGATACACTGCGTCGTACAGGTCGGGCCTCATGCCGCACAGCTTGGCCATCAGCTCGTGGGACGAGTACAGTCCCGTCACCAACAGCAGCTCGAGATTGGGATGTCCGTCGGCCAAGTCCGGACTGTTGACGTCCACGAAAGACAGGGCTTCAGGTCCACCCGGCACTGTATAGAAGCCGTTGTGGTTTTGCAGCAAGTCGTTCAGAATGTACGGGTCACTGAATATCTTGTGGAGCCTTATCGATACTGTGTCGTTCACCGTCGCCACCAGTCCTCCCAGAGACACGTGGTCCATCAGGTTCTCGCCAACTGGCAAGTCCGCCACCAACGGGATCCGAAGGTCCGCCAAGTGTTGCTTGGGCCCTATTCCGGACAACATGAGCAGCTGTGGTGTGTTTATGGCTCCACCGGAAATGATCACCTCCTTCCGGGCATACACTCTGGTTTTTTTTCCGCTCCTGACGAACTCCACGCCGATCGCTTTCTTCGTTGATTTGTTTATCAGTATCTTGGTTACTGTGCTGAACTTTTTTACGTGCAAGTTTGATCTCCTTTTAGCTGGGAAAAGAAACGCTGCGTTCGTACTGTGACGGAGGCCGTTTTTCAAGGTGGCCTGGAAAAATATTTAATAATTATAAATTAAAAATTGTGTGATTGATTTCATATAATGCAACGCTTGAATCAAATTCAATCTTTATAAATTATAATATTATAACTTATAAGGTGTTATTGAGTAATTATAAATTCAGAGTTACTTACAATAACCATGAACCAATATAACCTATAAGTTATAAAATACTTAGATAACCTTTTATATAAAAAAAATTGTATTAAAAAGAATGATCAGCTTTGTTTTAGCTAAAAATCTATAAGTAATTATTTTTCAGAAAACACTGTAATTGTTTATGTAAATTTTGTATTTGTACATTATATATTATAGACTGCCTATATTAGAATAATATTATTTTTTGTATATGTGAGTATTGTGGTGGTATATATTATGCTGTTTTGGTTTACAATAGTGTGTGCCGTATGGTCATAAAAACTTATTCAATAAAAAATTTTAGTTTTTTTTTCAGGAAGTCTCCACTTTACTTTTATATTATTGGTTAATAATGTGATTGTATAATTTATAAGTATGTAAAAATTTTAGTTTTTTAACTCATATATTTATGCAAATATAATATAGTCGTTTGTGACAAACGTGCTGTTGCTATATAATTAATAACGTTTTTACATATTACTTAACATAGCTATCGAAACTATATATTCTTACTTCTTGATTTCAAGACTTCTAAGATTAAAAAAAATACTAAGTGTCAAAGTACTTCACTGTACGTTTTGATTAATTCTACAATGAAAATTATAGTAGGTACGTTTTGAAAGAAAAACATAGGTATTTTCAAATGTTTTTTAACCAATCAAATATTACAGATGGATACCTATCGCAGAACAAGTATTATATTTTATTTTATTTTATTTTCTGCCATTTTTATAGTACAAAAGCTCGACCGTAAGTACGTCAAAACTCGATTTTGAAAATATTAAAAATATCAAGTTTTGGTTTGTAACCACAATGATTTTAGATTCTGAGTGAAACGATGAATGTATTGATTTTACAAGGATGTGTGTTTTTTTTTTGTTTCATCATCTTTTACTTTTTAGGACAGTAAAAGTGCTTGGATTTTCATCAACAGTACCTACTTTTTCCGATAGGAAATTGAATCTTGTTGGTACTTTGGGGGTCAAAAGTAAAAATTTCTCAGTAGTTTTCAAAAGCGCCTTGAAAAACATAAGAAAAATTAAGGAAAAATGGGAATTTTTACGCAAAATCTGTTTTCGAGAAAATCGATGTTGGTTTTTGGTGCAACTCTTAAACAAATAACCGTAGGTACATGCAATTTTGAGTGATTGTTTATATTAGCATTTTCTATACACCATAACATTTTCCAAATATTTTGACTTATTTTGAGCTCTTTAAGGACATTTTCAGTTTTCTGTGAATATCAATAAAACTTTATTTGTTAAGTAAAAAAGCTTGAAAATTTAATACAAGGCTCCTACTATATTGTTACAATAGCAGTTGAAAAATATTAAAAATCCTTAGTCACAATTTTTTTTTTATAAGCATTTAAAGTTCAAAAATTGACAAAATATGGAAAAATCACGAAAATTAGCAAATTATTTTGAGTTGAGAAATCATTTCTTTCAAAAAATTTTTTTTTTTAAATCTAAGATTTGAAAATGTTAAACAAGATTCCTCATAAGTTTGTCTACCTTTATCAAAAAAAATGTCTACAAGACACTCAAATTAAATTTTTATGAGCGTTTGAAATTCATTATTTTACAATATTGGATATTTACTCGATTTCTCATGTAGTGGTTTTGTTATTTTATTGTTATTCAAAAATGAATAACTGTAAATACATGAAAATTTTACTGAATGTTTATATTTTCATTTTCTATACACCATACAAATTTGAAAATACTTTGACTCTTTTTGAGCTGGTTACGGGCATTGTAAGTTTTCAATTTTTTTTAGTTTTTTTTTCTATGAATACCTATCAATAAAGATTTATCTGTTTGGTCAAAAAGTGTAAAAATGTAATACAAGGCTCCTGATATATTGTGACAATATCAGTTGAAAATTATTAAAAATATATAAGCACAATTTTTTTTTAGAAGCATTTTTTTGACAAAATTTATCAAATTTAAAATTGAATAATTATTTTGTAGTTAAAAATTTATAAAATGTGCAACTTTTATATCTAAGGATTGAAAATTTAAAACAAGATTCCATGTAAGTAGTTTATTCTATTACCAAAAAATCTAAAAAATATACAAGCACAGTTTATTTTTATAGTCAATTTAAATTCAAATTTGGACAAAATTACATATTAAAAAAACCTAACATATCTATTTTAGTTATTTTGTTGTGATTGTATAATATTATTCGTGGGTACTTGAAACTTCTAAAGTGTACTATTATATATCTATATATATCTTATATATCAGGGTTTGTTGTTGATGTATAACGCGTTATAAGTACCTAATGGATATTGTGATATGATTAATTTGGAATTTATTATAGATACATTTTTTTAATACCATAGATATGTATATGATATAATATGTCTTAAACCTAGACTGACATACCGTCTCCGCACAGAATCATTTTTCTTATACAATGATATTATATCATTGAATTCAAATTTAATACTATCCATTATACAGTGACCCACTTGTAACCTACTGTACAGCAGAGCACTTTTTAAAATAAAAATATTTTTATAATGTTTTTAATGTTCACAAACCCGTGGTGTTAAATGTTAATATTATTAACGGATACCGTTGATTCGAAATTTTACCTGTATATAATTGACTCCGGCTTGTTTCTCTCCGTTGACGTCTATAACAGGAAGTCCGATTTGTGACCCTGCTTCCACAAAAGCCTTCGCTATTGGAGTCCTATACGGGACGTCGGACACCGACAACAATCCGCTTCTTCCGTGATAACCTGGCTCGGAGTGTGACAAGTTGGCGTTTTCCGATTTGATGAAATACTTCAAAACGCTGTTGTAATCCCAACCTATTAAAATACGTATTGAAAGGTATAATGTTTTGAGTTTTTAAACACAAACTCAACAAAATGTCTGCAGTTAGCAATTTGCAAATTATATTTTAGTGATAAACAATTTGTAAATGTACCCGTGTTTCCCATATCCGCCCAATTGTCGTAATCCTTTCTGTTACCACGTGTATATATCATGTAATTCAGTACGCTACTGCCACCCATGACTTTGCCTCTGGGAAATTTGCATCGATTGCCTTCGAATCCTATAAATTGGGTAACGTCAAACGTTTGTTATGAGTATAATATTAAGGATCTTATTAATTGACAGCAAAATATTATTGGATTGTATAGATAATATTACCTAGACAGGAGTTGTTCATCGAAACTGTTCTGTATTTCCAATTGATCGAGGAAAATTGTAAAAACGGAGCGGCCAAAGGCACGTCCATGATGTGTGAGGCTTGTTGACCTGCTTCGATCAACAGAACTTGTAATTTTTTGACCTGGTACGGAACATAGAACAGTATTATTTGTTAAACGGCAGTATAAAAAACGCAAGGCGAAAAAGATTAACGAGCTTCCAACCCATAGCGGTCCTATTAAATAAGTTTACACCAAACTGCTGTTTAATTATTATTACCTTATTAGTTATTAGTTATTACCTTGTAAGAAAGTGCAATTTTTATTGGTGATTGTGGAACGTAGCTTTGTAAGTATATAATTTGAATTATGTAACTACGAATCCATCAATGAAATTTTTATTTTGCATTTTATTTTTTATTTTTTGGTAATTTTTTGTATTTTTAGGTCATATTTTCTTTTTTTAGTTAATTTACCCGGTATTTTTAATTAAATTCCGTCAACTGACATGTTTGAAAAACATTTTTTTGTTTTTTTTTTTTTTTTGTCCAATTCAATAGTAAAGACTAAAGATGAATAATAGGTACCCACAATTAAATATATTTAAATTGTTTAATTATTTTAACTAAATAAATACATAAATATTTTACAATACCTATGAATGCTACTATAGTAGGTACCTATATATTTTATAATCAATGGTTATTATAGGTACCTATGCATGCTAAATAATATTATGCTCCCCGAGGCTCAATATATGAAAATAAACAAAATACTTAAATTAAATTCGTATTCTACAAAGTATAGGTACCTACAAAACAAAAACATCCAAATGTTATAAATTCACAACCTGAACGTATCATATCAAAACCACCATATCACGTAAACACGTAATACTATATAGATCATATATGGGCATGTACGATGTTCCGTTTCCGCCAATATACTATATACCTGCTACGGTAAAATTATTATAATAATATATTCCATAGTATTAGATATTATCCATATAATTTGTAAGGTATCGTATATTTAAGTTTTAACATGAAATAATTATACATAGTTTATATGACAACATTGAATATTGACAATAATATATGAATAACTAAATAAATACATAATATTTTGTCATAGCTTTAATAATTAAAAAATTATTTTCCCTTTTTACCAAAAATATGGAATATATTATAATAATTTTACAGTAGCGGGTACCTATATATAGGCAGAAACGGGAATTGAACCTTTTTTAACCTGGCGGAAACGGACGATGGCGGAATCGATCATTTCAAATTTTGGCGGAAACGGTTAATTCCCTCATATATATATTAGTAAATCGACATTTCCCCCTCCCCCCATCGACTGTTTTCGGTCAAGTAGGAAATTTCCCATCCCCAAATTTTTTTTAACAGTTTATTATTGAAAAATAATATTAAATTTAATAATACAATATTATTTATTATTTAATATGAAATTATTTTTTTAAATAAAATATAAACATTTTTTTTATTTTCATAAATATAATAGATTATAAATGTATATATTTGATCAACTGAACTACTTAAAACAATAAAAATGTAAAAAAAATAAGTATAAAATAAAATATAATTACATAATAATTAATAAAAATGGCTATAAATCCCGACATAAAAATAATACTTAATGTAAAATACATTTGATTACTGATTCTTTTGTTATTTCTAAACACATATTTTTTAGCCTTCGTTCATATTTTTTTTTTTTTTTTTTTATTGAAACTACCAGTTTGGATATTTAACAATTTAATAACTGCTTTTAAATTTGAATCAAGTAGTTCAGTTGGTCAAAAATATACATCTATAATTTATTATATTTATGAAAATATTAGACAATAGGGAAAAAAATAATTTCATATTCAATAGTAAAATAATATTATTAAATAGTGAACTTTAAAAAAAAATGGGGGGGAAATTCTTCTAGTATATACTGAAAACAGTCAGGGGGAAATGTCTGGGGGGGATGTCCACGATTCATTTTTTTTTTCAGATGACCTTCGGCAACATAAGCCATTGGGTGGGGGTGGAACTGTGAGTTAGAATTTCTAGTGGGGCACCCGTAGGTTTCTGCCATGCCCCGGGTGGGGGATGGCGGCACTCGTTCTCCGGACACCGTGACTTGCCAGTAGAAAAATGCCGCCCGGTGGCCGAGAATCGAACCGGCGACGGCTGCGCCGCAACCGACGCCTTCGATCGCTCAGCCACCTCGTCTCCCGTCCATTGTAATATTTAAAAATATCGAAACGCATATATTATAGTTATTATAGCCGTATAGTCACTCACTTCGGACAGTCTGCTCGCCACTACCGATCCAGCGCTGCCGGCCCCGACCACGATAAAATCGTATTCGGGAAGCACCTTCGCCCGGTCGACGGTTTCGCTGGATTCCCATACCAGTGTTTCTCCCAAAAATTTCAGTGCTGATTGGAATAGCGGTGGATAGGACGGTGCAGGCGACGATACGCTTTGGACGATGACGACGAACGAGCACTGCAACAATAATAAGACAACAACTATCCGCGCCTGAAAATGTAGCGAAGCGGAAACCATAATAATATATTTTCGCGAATTCACGATTTCGGATTAGCTAGTTCCGACGACTGTCACGTGTACGATGGACGTCGGATTATAACCGTGACCGGCAGGCAAATGTAGACGAAATTTGCGAAAGACTTCGCAGCAGCAACGCGCAACGATCTATCCTTATAATATTATGTGCTTAGATATTTTTCTCAGGAGTCATTGGACTGTTGTCAGACATATAATCACGTGGTCGTAATCCATGCCTGAATTGGATCCGATATTGACCTATCGTAAAGTCACTCATTACCAATGGCATGCGATTCGAAGGCCGTTCTGTAAGTAACTGCTAATAACTCGTTTCTCGTTATTTTTTTTTCCTCTTCTGATGATTGCAGGATAAAAACGTTCGAATGTATTAATTGATAGGTATTGTTATTAATTTTACACTCGCGATTTAAAATTTAGATAATATTTTAAACGTTTTACGGATTCATGTACCTACATAGTAGTAAATACTATACTATTTAGAATGACGACTATACGTATTGAATTGACTTAGGTAACTACAGTCTGATTTCATGAAATATATTTTTCATGCTCGCAAATGTTTAGTTACATTTTCAGTATCTGTGCACACTAATAGGCCAATCAAATTTCAGGAAAGATATTTTTAATAATCAACGAAATGGTTGTCATCAACGGATCGGTACGGAGATATTTTTTTTTAAGGCGACGAGCGATAGCATAAAATACATAGGGAATCTGCTATAGCGGTACTACGAGTATTATAGCCTATACAGGTATTGGGTACCTACAAATATATAATTTAGTAACTTGACCGTTCAATGACCTTTCGGATATTGCTGATACAACATTATTTTTTAACACACCCAATTTTATATTGTGCTAATAACTGCTTAACCCTGAATTTGTTATTTTAATTATATTCGATCGTCGACGAAATTGTGTTTTTACATTTGACAGTATAAAAAATATTCTGCCTTGAACCGGTTATTATATATATATATATTATTGCAATGTGCTTAAAAATTAAAATATATGAACGCGATGATAATATGAAGATTATATTTTATACATAATATACGATTTGTATAGTATGTATTATAAATAAAAACGCGGTTTAAGGTTTTCGGAGCAGACAATTTAGTATATTGACAATTTATTTTGTATAGAATGTGCATTACTTGCATGGTATCTAAAAGATGAAATCACTTCATTAATTCATGTTTTTATTAGAAATATAATTTATTGTTTCTAATATTAAAAAAATGATTGGAATTTGATACAGAATCACAGGGAAGATTTTTTGGGTTATTAGTACTAAACAAAAAAGCTATATAAAAATTGTAAGAAGCAAAAATATAGCTAGCAATAATAATATGTTCCTATAATAGGTACCTACATATTTATCGAAAAAATCTTAGTAAGTTTTGATAAATTCCGGGAGGCTGAAGCCTATCCCTCCCACCTCCAAAATACCCTCTAGAGACGTAGTTTATGCCTATTGGACTCAAACTGCAGGATGATCCTAATTGCACGCATATTTTACTCTTAGAAAATAATTCGTCTATTGAACTCACTACACCGGTTGATAAGATATAAATTTTAAATGGTTAGATCATTCTTTGAATATTGTTATTACTTATTTATTTGCCTCTGATTGTAAAATAAATATCTACAATTTAGTAAATATAATGAAATACGTAGGCAACTTATAAATAAATAAATATTTATAAATACTACATAGCTCATACATATACTGCATAATCTAATTTTTCTATTCCACTTATAATATATATATTTATTATTATTTATTAAAATATCTTTATTTAATATTAATTACTTACATACATATTTTTATTCTTGAATCTTGGGCCTTTTGCCCTATTGTTTCAATCGCTTCAGCCCCATAGTAAGTTCAATACGCGGATATTAGTGTATTTTAATACGTCATTACTGTATTGGTATATTGCAGGAATAATGTTATTAATTAATGTTTAATTGAGTTTACTAGTGTTGTTGCCTTGTCGGTGAATGTCAAAATTACTGCCATTTTTATAATACCTGCGTATATAATAATTAGGACGCTGCAGTAGCCGAAAAGTGTTGAGTGTGTATATTTATTATTGGTCAACTATACCGAGTGATTCATTTAGCATAAGTATAAAAATCGAATTTTTAACGAGTATTTTTTTGAGTTATAACTTATAAACATTAAAAGTTTTGACCAACGGAATGGAGTGGTACAGGATGGGTACCCCACAAAGTGTTGGCCCACTACTCTGCTTATCAAAACTTAAAATATTCTGTATCAGAATATGAAATAAATATGTATATATGTTGTCGTTTAAAAGGGTAAAAAACGTATACAATTATGGAGATAAACAACAGTAATTACTAATTAATATAATTGTTTTCAAAAAAGTTGTATCGTACCCGACCTATAGCCATGTAAAATAAATATTTCATGGTAATAAATGGATCACTCCGTATATATAGTGCATGCGTATACTGTATAATGTATACACAGGATGTAAACAATATTATAGTGCAGAGCATACCTATGACATTATGTACAAAAGAATATATAAAACAATAATACTACGTAGGTACAACGGATTGAGATGATAAACCTAACATGAACATTGAACATTAAAGTTATAGTGAAACACGCGCTCAGTTCAAACTATTCGCGTACCTATATAATAAAAGTGTCACCGGTGTGGCAATGTGCATTCGACTGCAGCTTAAAATATTCTTAGCATTATATAGACCGTATGATAATAAAATACAAGGTGCGTGACGCTGGCACCCGCAAGTTTGAAATTCAACTCAAAAATCACATCAGTAATTGTTATACAATTTGTACAAATTTGTAACCACAATTCCAAAATTTGTACACCCCCCGGTCGCCCGTAAAATCCAAAAACGTTTTCCGGGTGCCAGCATCACGTGACGCTGGCACCCGGATCTCGATGTATTTGGCCTATCGACCCAAAAACCACATCAGTAATTGTTATACAATTTGTACAAATTGTATAACAATTACTGATGTGGTTTTTGAGTTGAAATTCAAACTTGCGGGTGCTAGCGTCACGCACCTTAAAATACAGGTATGTACCTTAAAATACAATATATTATATACCTTAAACAATACTCGAGTTGGATAACAGATAACCGTCGCTCGTGTCTCAAATATAATATTATAAGAAAATAAATCGTTTATTACATAATAATATTAGGTAGTAATAGTTTATTGGTATAGGTACGTCATTGGACATCAGTCATTATTATAACACTTATTTATCGGTTAATACGCACAACATGTTATTTTGCTCTATTATACAAACATAATGTAGGCAATCACCGGACCTGTGTGTATTATATGTGTATTGTAGCGCCGTAGTCTATGACGTCCGTAGGTACGTCCCAGTCCTCTTTAATCATGTCGGACGCTTTTTCCGCGATCATGATCGTCGGGGCGTTGGTGTGAGCCGCCGGCACTTCCGGCATGATCGACGCGTCCACCACTCTCAGGCCGCTGACGCCGTGCACGCGCAACCTCGGGTCCACGACGGCCGTCGGATCTGTGACCGGTCCCATCTTGCACGTGCCGGACAGGTGATAGATCGTGAACGATATCTGTCTGCTGGCACACTTCCAGTACGCGTCCGTGTCGAACACGTGTTGCGCGCAACCCGGAAGCGGCGTTTCCAGGATCGTGGCGTTGAGTGACCTCATCGGGCCCGTGCGCAGCATCTGCTGGACGAGCCGGACTCCGGCCACGATCACGTCCAGGTCGGCCTCATCGGCGAAATAGTTGGGGTCGATCAGCGGGTGATGGAACGGGTTGGCGTCTCTCAGCCACACGCGGCCGCGGCTCTTGGGACGCAACACCATCGGGAACACCGTGAACCCGTCCGTAGCCTCAGTGGCCCGATACACTGCGTCGTACAGGTCGGGCCTCATGCCGCACAGCTTGGGCATCATCTTATCGGCCGAGTACGTTCCTGATATCAGCAGCAACTCAAGATTGGGATGTCCGTCTCTAGACCCGGGTCTATCCACGTCAACAAACGCCAGGGCCTCGGCGCCTCCCGGCACCGTGTTAAGGCCACCGCCGTACCGTAAGTAATCGTTCATGACGTTCGGATCTTCCAAAGAATTTTTCAGACGGATCGAAATGGATTCGTTTATCGATACGACCAGACTGCCGAGTGACACGTGGTCCATCAGGTTCTCGCCGACTGGCAAGTCTTTCACCAACGGGATCCGGATGTCCGCCAAGTGTTGCTTGGGCCCGATTCCTGACAGTATGAGCAGCTGTGGCGTGTTTATGGCTCCACCGGAAACGATCACTTCCTTCCGCACAAACACCCTGTGTTTCTTTCGATTCGATACAAACTCCACTCCGATCGCCTTGTTTGACAATTCGTCTATCAGTATCCTTGTTACCATGCTCTGCTTTTTCACGTGGAGGTTTTTTCTTTTTTTCGCAGGGAACAGAAACGCCGTGTTTGTACTCCATCGCCGACCGTTCTTCATGGTGGCCTGAAATTTAAAAAAAAATCTTTTTTTATATGTCCACAATATTATAAAATTAAGTTGTATATAACTATGTACAACAATGCAATTTTCCATGCAATTTTTAAAAAACCCATTACTTACCACAAAATGCTATGTTGACATTCTCTTAATTATAAATTGAAGCCATTAATCGGAAAAGGATTGTAATATTATTGATTTTTTTTTTTTATTATCTCGGAAACTAATTAAATAAATATAATTAATGCGTCTATGTGGAATTATACATAATATAACTATATACCCATAATATATATAATGGCTGTATAGTGTAAGTTTATACAGTATTTCTACTGCAGGCTAGTTGGTTGTGGATTGGTGTCTCTGATATTTTAATTAGGTACGTAGGATTTTAATTGTTCTTTTAAATACAATTTAAATCTCTATAGAAGATACCCAAAGTTGTTAACATACAACTGGTGAAATAAAATACATGTATAAATTATATTTAATTATATTTATTATACTATATAGATATACTTATAAATAACTAGCTGAATTACCCAAGTGTATCGCCAAATATTTTAATATTTTAATATTTGTGTATCGCCATACACCTCCCCATTCCGGTCCATAATATCTTGTCGTAAAATATCTTAGACTTATGAGATTAATATAATAGAAAAATGGCAAGCCTTAAGCTATTATTTAAGCTCTACTTTGATCAGTCAGTGAGTCTGTCAGGACTAGGGCTGTGCGATAGACGATAGTCACATCTAGTGGTCGATAGTTGATTGTTTTAATACTACCGATTGTATCGATTAATCGATTATTTTAGATGTACCGAGATAGTATCGAATACGGATTAATATATTAGTCTAGGGTATCGAATAACCGATAGTATTGATTAACCGATAGTATCTACTAACCGATATATTATTCTATACTATAGAGTAGTGGCCAGAGAGGTATCGATTTGGAATAAAATTAAAAGTAAGGCAAATCTTCCCAGGCATTAAGTGGATAACTAATTGTATACATTTATTCTTCTTTTGGTAATTAGTTGGTAATATAAATAAGTAAAAACTATAATTATTATTATATAAATTTTATAAATTTTTTTATTTAATAATAAAAAAAATTTATTGTTACAACAAAATTTATATAGGAGTTGTCGGTAGGTAAATTGGTAGTTGGTACTAATAAGTTAATGTATTATAATATGCACATAAATTATATTTTTCTGTTTTAAAAAAATATTTATATATTGATTTTATGCGATAAACCGATTATATATATCGTTTAACCGATAATATTGTTAATCCGATAGTATCAGATAGTATCGACGTATCGATTGTATTCGATACATCGGATGATTCTGTTTAATAAAAAACATCGATTACTAAAAACGATTAATCGATACTATCGTACAGCCCTAGTTAGGACCATAGACCTATACACTAACAGACAGCGCCATTCCACTCCGCCCTGTCATCAATGCACTGGAATCTTATAATAGAAAAAAAGAAGAAAGAACGAAGAGAGAAAAGAGAGAAAAAACATAAAGTGGGTAATCATAGACGTATGAAACTAATACTGTATTTCCCCCACATTCTCTTTTCTTTTTTACTATATAGCGTACTCCTGACCTCTCTCTCTAAGCGCTGTCCATTAGTTTATAGGTCTAATAGAGTATAGACCTGGTCTATGGTCAGGAGTACTCAGGACTCAGGACACGTTCGATTATATTTTATTAGAGCCTTCTACCCATCCCGCCCGACGTTACCCTTGAGATACGCTTGTGATTATGTGATCAGTATATTTTCAGGTAGGCAATCCACCTGCGCGTGCGTACTTCATTACGAATGTCTTATTAACTTTAATAATAAAAAACAAATAATGACGTAAATAATGCTATTACGTTTATATAGTTAGCGTCAGATATAACGAGTCAAAAGAAGGCCGTTCCTCGTTTTTCCTGAAACAATTTTCATATTATTTATTGAAATTGTATATTAGATAATTAGAATAATATATTGAATTGAAATCTATTATATTTTGAAATTATAAGCCATTTAGAATTACGAGTAGATATTACTAGGTATTAAAAAAAATACTTTTAGGTATATCATTTGGGTTCGTTCGTGTATGAATATACACAAAAATAGTTGGCTTTCGAGTTTCGACAACCTTAAAACTCCTTAATAACTAATAATTAAATCTAACGATTTAGTATAATTATCTAGTAGGTATCATCTATCCCACTTGTCAAGTTTTAATATATTTACTACTAGTATAAACACTATAGGTACTATACACAATTACGATTACCTATACCTATATATAGGTACATTATCATTAATATATATTATAATTAGATTTTTATATTTTGCACGTGTAATGTGCAGTGCGCGTGTTTCAGTTTTTGATAATTATACATTTATACACTCAGTAAATTTTAAACCAATTAAATTTGTTCATAGTTTTTTTTTTTAGATTTTTATCATAATAATACATTTTAATAAGCTTAAATAAATTGTAGGTATATTCTAGTTAAGTTTTTATAAGGAAAATACATAGGTAATAACAATATACATAATATATCCATTTTATTGTGAGATGGAGTTTTAATAAATTTATAATATCTATAAAATGATATTATTATTTATAGATTAAAAATATTAAAATTAATATTTTTTTTTTATTGAACATTAAGCCCGGCAGCTATGTCCGTTAGCTGTTTGTTTTGTTTGTAGGGGAGGATTTTGTAGGTTGGTAAACACATGTGTTTTAGTTTGGCAGAATATTTTAGTGGGCAACTGACGCCTTAGTGAACTCGGCCACACAGTAGTAGATGCTTAAGAAACAACACAAAAGCAATTTCATTGAACACATATTGATCCTATGTATCATGTTTGTATAATAATGGTAATATTATACTAATATAAGTACACACAAAAATGTAATATTTATGATGTTTTACGACATAAGAGCAGGATTCCTCACACAGATTTAAGGGCGTCCGCAGGGGGGGGGGTGTATCAATGAGTGAATAATTTAAAAATATTCAATTGTATAAATTACCTAAAATTATAAAACCAAATAACATTTTATGCATTTGCTGATTTTAACTCATCAATTAATTTAAATTAATGCTGTAAGATTAAGTTTTAACTAACTATCTACGTATTACGTAAAATTCAAAAATAATTTTTACATTCTCTACCTATATGAAAGAAGACATGCCACAAACAATATTTTATCACTAATCGGAAAGTGAAACCAAAAATGTAAAAAATAAATATTATTGATCAGATATAATAATTTAAACTTATAATTTTGATATTAATTGGTCACAATATTTTTAACCCTGCACGGTCTTTTAAGGTTAATAGAATTAAAAACTACAGGACAGTTTTTAATAAAAAGTTATACCAATAAATCCCTAGAGACTTAGAAGATGTTTATTTTTTAAATCCCTATACCCACTACGACACTAGCCAGGTAGCTAAAAAGCAAGGTTTTAAACGGATTGAAAAAATTTCAGTTTTGGTTTCGATTTTGTTCACCAGTTTTTATTTTTGTTACAATTTGTCAATACCGGTATTAGGAAATTACGATTTTGTATACCGATTTCCAATTTTTTTCGATTTTGTTTTTGATTTCATTTCGATTTCAGTTTTTACTTTTAGACGGTTTATACCGGTTTCTAAAGTCGGTTTCAAGGTCTGGACTTTTTACGTTCTTTCTTAGTTTTTTAATTTTTTTGAATCACCTGATCGAGCTTTCGAATCACCTTTTGTGTAAAGTAAACTTTCAAAATGTCAAGATACTAAGATTTTCAAAAAAAAATACAGTTTTTTGTAAATTATATTTTCGGTTTCGATTTTTAATTATAATACCAGTATACAATTTTTACAAGTTTCGGTTTTGAAGTTAATACCGGTTTCCAAATTTTTTCGGTTTAGGTTTTATAATGGTTTAAACCGGTTTCAAGCCCAGCTAAAATGTAGCTCACACATCAGTGGCGGATATCGGGTGGACCGCCCCCCTTGGGCTTTTCGCCACCACATGCGGACCACCCCATGGGATAGGTTGAACGATTTGAAATTTACCCCCCCCCCTCACACACATAGGTATTATAATAGAATTATTTATCTAAAATATTGCATAAGCGTTTTACAAATATACTTATAGAAAAAAAACGAATCGGTGGCCTCTAGTTATATAACAATTATTAACTAATAACTATATACTCATATATTACCTCGTGTTTATTTCTATTTACCTGTAAATAATTGATGCCGACTTGTTTCTCCCCGTTGACATCTACAACAGGAAGTCCGATTTGTGATCCAGCTTCCACAAAAGCCTTTGCTATTGGCGTCCTGTACGGGACGTCGGACACCGACAATAATCCGTTTTTTCCGTGATAACCCGGGTCGGCCTGAGATAAGTTAGCGTTTTCCGATTTGATGAAATATTTCAGAACGCTATTATAATCCCAACCTTAAACACGTATTAAATTTTTTTAAACTAGGTCTGTATGAAATTACTACAAATTATTAAATTCTAGTGGCCGTTAATTGGACTCACGGTTAACGGACTCATCTAACATCTTATTCCGCCTGTTGGAGTGTTGGACTCGATTAAGCTTGTCTCAATTTACACTCATATTCTAACACATAGGAAAAATTCATCTTGGTCTAACTATATACACTCGTTAATATGGGGTCTATGTATATTTTTAAAGGCATATCATATTTTATTCAATTTTCCCGATTTTATTGAATATATTAATATTGCGATTAATACTATCTCTCCGACTTATAGCATTGAAAAGTATTTAAGTTATTGGAAATATATTTCATATATAGTTTGAGATCATTACGAAACAACATTTTTGAAAAATAAATATTTTATATTTTTATCATTATCAATGTTTGTGTTTTTTTTTCTTATAAATGATAACATTTATTCGAAATACATAAATAAATACTGCATAATAATGAATACTTATTTGCCAAATTTAAATTTTTATGACAATGGCATATGATCTTTTTATTCTATTGGACTTTTCGCATTATTCACTATTTCTATTAATGAACACAAATACCTACTAGCTCTGATAGTCTGGTGCCAAAGTGAGTCAAATAAACGTCACGTCGGCACTCGACGACTACAACTGTATAAATCAGATACAATTTGTAAATTTACCAGTATTTCCCATATCCGCCCAATAGTCGTAATCCTTTATGTTACCACGTGTATATATCATGTAATTCAATACGCTACTGCCACCCATGACTTTGCCCCTCGGAAATTTGCACCGATTGCCTTCGAAACCTGTAAATTGCAAACGTCCAACGTTAATTGTGAGTATAAACAATTTACACTTTTAATCGACTTCAAAATATTACCTAAGCACGAGTTTTTCATCGGCACTGTCTTATATTTCCAATTGGCCTCAGAAAATTGCAAAAACGGAGCGGTCAAAGGTACGTCCATGATGTGTGAAGCGTGTTGTCCGGCTTCGATCAACAGCACCTGCCATTTTTTGACCTGATCGTAGCAAATACAAGAATCGTCGTCATTGGGAGAACAGTAGTATTAAAAAATTAAAACACCGAAAGTCGAAATCACATCAATGTCGTTTGAATTTAAATATTATAATATTTTCGGTAGGTACACTCACTTCGGACAATCGGCTCGCCACTACCGATCCGGCACTTCCGGCACCGACGACGATGAAATCGTATTCCGGGAAAACTTTTGCCTGATTGACGGTTTCGTGTGATTCCCATTCCAAAGTTTCAGCTAAGTACATTAACCCGGATTCGAATAATGGCGGAAATCCAGCAGTGCTTGTTGTTTTTGACCCATACAATATAAATAAATACAATGAAATTTGCAGATGAATCGATTGTGAAATCATTTTGAAAATGTCACGCTTCCTTTTATTATTCTTAAAATAATTATATGCACCACTATTATTTGTACTATTTATCGTATTATTATAAGAGAGTTGGTACTTAGTGTATTCATCAAAAATGTATATATTTTAGAACAAAACTTTAAGGACCACTTCAGGAATAACTAAAATCACGTCACGTGTAAAATTTTTCCTTAAACATTGTTGGGCTACCTCTGAATTACTACTGAAATGCAGTCAACTCATACATTTTCTTATGCTTGTGCTTATTATGATTATTTTGCTAATTATAAAATATTAGGAATTTATGCACGAAGGTCGCCTGATAAAAACTAGTTTGTTTGTAAGCAAGGTTTTTCTCAATTTTGATCATAAGTTTCTCAATAAGCCATAGAAATTGATACCTATATTCAATAAGTTGAAAATATTGAAATTTCTTAACAGTATACTGAACATGAACAAGAATTTATAGCTTTCTTTTTCGTCATACATATACATTTTTTTTTATTTTTTTGTTAAAGCCTCGGCGTTTAAGGCGAGACTGTATATTTTTCTTAAATTACATTAATATTATATACAGGTTATGAGTCACAAAAGATCAATTGACTTGATCTTAATTATGAATGTAATTGTGTTTTTTATGTTGTCTGGATGGAGTGATTGGCTTCTGAGGGAATGTTTGGTACCCCTGCTTCCCGTTTATCCGTTTCAAAAGAGAGGCATTCTGATATAATGTGTTTCAGTGTGTTACGTGTGCCACAACTGGGCACTGGCTCAAATAGGGGGTCTTCCCTCTTCATCAGGTTCTGGTGGGTTAACGATGTGTGTCCGATTTGCGTTCTGTCGATTGACTATTTTCCTTGTGATGTCCGGTTGTGAGGGTCATACGAGGATGGTGTTTTTAATTTCATTTAATTTTGAAGAACCTTGTGTCCAAGCCCGTAGCCATATGTTGTTCAAAATTAATTTGGTTATAGATTTAGCCTCGTGTAAGGTAAAATAATTGAGTTTTATGGCATAAGAAGTGATTATTGCATTGCGTGCTTTTTTTTTCATTATATTTATTAAAATATTTTAATTTATTAAAAATATCAAAAAATAACAATGGAAGTTTTTGTTCTTTTTCAGAATTTATAAATTAAATGTCTAAGTCTAATTATAAATTGTAATTAATGTGATACAACTGTTAACTGGTCTGTTGCTTTGTTTTATACAGCTTGATTTTTTTTTTTTGCAATAGTAAAAGTAGTTAACATTGTTACACTATAAATATGTATGGATCGTTTACATAATTACATATCTGCTACTTATTTAAATATTTTATAACTTTATACACATAAATATATTATTATACCTACTGGGTAAATTTTATAGGTATATTTTAATATATCAACTTTATACACATAAATATATTATTATACTATGTACATTGAATCATAATATAATATAATATATAGAAATAAACATTGTATTATTATTATTATTTTACTTATTAATAATATTATTACTACTACAATGTATATATATATTATATTTACATAATATTATAGTAGACTTAACGATTTACAAGGATTTTGAGAACTTGGCTTTTTATTTATATATTATATATATAGCTATTAGCTACACTATATTTATGATAGTGGAGGAGACTGGAAATCGTGGAATTGTCGGCAGAAATATACTCGATTCTCGGTATCTGTGCTTAAATTTAATTACATTTACAATTATTATACAACACATTACATACACAATATATCCAATACAATAACAACGAACGGAGCTGAAAACGTTCACATGCACTTCAATAGTCAATTGTATGCTTCCCTGCACCCTCACATTCACTAAATTATTTAAATACTAATGGAAATTCAAGTCAATACTGATTTAAAAATAAATAAAGAAAATACCCGCGCTTAGAATAGAAATATTTTAAAAATATAAAAGAAATATGAAAAAAATATAATACTCTGATTACAAATCCAAAAAAATGTATGTTTTAACATTTTTAATGCAAACGCGTACTTACCAATAAATATTAAATATGTATTAAAAAATAAATAAATTAATGTTGTGATATTAAAAATGATTGTAATTGTAATTTGTGCAATTTGTAAATTTTAATGACTCTTTGTAAAAATGACTGTATGTACCTAATTGTAATTTTTAATTTGACAACATTGTGAATAATGGCTTTCTAAGGAAGCTCTTCTTAAATAAATAGTTTTAAACCTGCAAGTCATAAAACATAGAAAGTCCTAAGCCTTATAAATTGAAGGAAAATTTCTTTTGAGTATAATAATTTCCCTCCATCAGTAATGACCAATTCGAAAATTTAGAGGTATGTAGATTATGTACACCCTAAACGTGGATAAATTTGTTTGAAAAAAGGTTTCTATTGTTAGTAAATTGTGCTTAAATGACTTATGTTTTTGTGCCCAAATAAGTTGTAAAAAAGGTAAATGTGCACAAATAAGTTGTAGCCCGACCTTGCATTGATTTGTGGATTACTAATTTACTAAACTTATACCCGAGTTTAAAGGTAATTTTAAATTCGAATAAAATACATTAACTAAATAATACCTGTTTTATATCATAATAATATTCAGGAAACTCTCGTTAAGTTAAATCTCAAGAAAAACGAAAAAAAAATGTTATAGGTAGTTATCAAAAAATTTAAAATTCCTATCGAGTTCTGTAGTTGTAAAAATATTTTAGTGTAATAGTAGTTTCAAGGGAATTTTAATTTAGTATGAAATGGCTGAATACTCGAGATATCGACTCTCAACATTTGAAGAATTCACTGTATAATATGTTTATATTATTATTCTACATTCATCACGGTTCTACATTTAAAAATAAAAAGTTAATCAACATCATTGTTTCAGTAAATCATATGTAACAAGCAAACATAATACTTCAATCGGTAGATAGTCAGTAACTTTAGTAGATTAGTATAACACATTTGTTTTTAATTTTTAAATTCTGAGCGGAACGATGTATTGATTTTACAATGATGTGTGTTTTTTTTTATTTATATTTTATTTTTTTTGTGTCTGTCATAAAGGTTAAATCAAGTAAAACAAAATCGATTTCGGTTTTTGGTGTAACTCTAAAACAAATGAATATAATATATACATGAAATTTTCACTGGTTGTTTATATTTGCATTTTCTATACATGATAAAATTTTCAAAATATTCTGATTTGTTTTGAACCGTTTAGGAACATTTTCAGTTTTCAATATTTTTTATTTTCTTTTTCTATAAATATCAATAAAGTTTTATCTGTTGGGCCAAAAAATGTAAAAATGTAATACAAGGCTCCTGATATAATGTTACAATATCAGTTGAAAAATATAAAAAATACATAGGCACAATTTTTTTTTATAAGCATTTAAAGATCGAATTTTGACAAAATTTATCAAATTTAATAAATATTTTGTAGTTAAAAATGTATGAAATGTTCAACTTTTAATATCTAAGGATTGAAAATTTAAAACAAGATTAAACGTAAGTAGTTAATTCTATTACCAAAAAATCTAAAAAATACATAAGCACAGTTTATTTTTATAGTCATTTTAAGTTCAAATTTGGACGAAATTACATAATAAAAAACCTAGAATAACTATTTTAGTTATTTTGTTGTGATTGTATAATATCATTCGTGGGTACTTGAAACTTCTAAAGTGTACTATTATATATCTAAGATAGTATCAGGGTTTGTTGTTGATGTATAATGCGTTATAAGTACCTAATGGATATTGTGATATGATTAATTTGGAATTTATTATAGGTACCTATTATAGCTCAATTTTTTTTAATAATATCATAGTTTTTCATCAATCGCCGCCACTTTTGCAAAACTAGGAAGTCTCGAGACTTAAGGCAAAACTAGTCTGTTGAATTCATAGTTATTGTAATATTATTGAACTGTACTTGTTGTTGTCTTGTCATCCGTTCTAGGCTTTGCTGGAGTCCTAATTTAAATAATTATAATAATAAATTATAGACTATAATCTAGAGTGGTTATAAATTATAATCAATCATGAAGCTACTAAACCAAGCACTGCTGAGCCAGTGGTCAATTCTTAGTAGTAGCCTATAGACCTAGTGAAGCAGACCATCGCGGCCAAAGTTATAAAACATAACTATTGAATTTTTATATTTTGAGAAATATATTGTTTTTTTTTTTAAATTTATATTTTGTATGTTAGGTATATTGTTAATATATTAAACAAATAATGGTAAAATACACTTATGTTTCAGAGAAGAGGTGACAAATTTTATTATTACCCCATGACCACAAAAGCTTAAAATATGGCGTTTTCCAACGTACATACGTTAATGACTATAGTAGGTACCTATTTACTTTATGGTGTATAAGACAGAACGTCTTATCAATATGTTCATCGTTCATGTATATTAATCTGATTTCGACCGTAACTGAAGATTGCTACATTTCTGCCAACTGCTAAAACAATAAATTACTGTCAGCTGGATTAAAAACGGTTATTTTCAAACGAATAAACCGGTATCAAAAATTAAACTTTTGGTACAGGCGTGGAAATAAAATTATTTGATCTTAAATATTAGTATTATAATAATATGCTCAAAAGAACCTCAAAAACCATACAATACTTCAAAGTTTAATTGTGTATTGACGTTGTCATTTTCATGAGTTCACACACACACAGTGCTGGACTTGGCAAAACTAAAGTAGGGGGACTCTGTTTATTTTAAAAAAAGGGCATCCCCATCACTTGTTAAACGTTATTGAGCCATGGCGGCATGCCCCACACTCCCTGATACCTCTTTATAAATCTCATAAAAAATATGGATAAGTAATCAATTTAGAAAAAATAAATAAATTCAAGTTAATATAACACATACGAAATAAAAGTAAATAAATTAATAATCTGGTAATAATTAGTTAATATTAATTAATTTATAAGTCCATTGGTTATGAAATACTAAATAGTCGATAAGACAAATTATGATGATATCT